TTCTCCAATTAAGCAGCCGAGAAAATGACTTAAGCAATGGCGCTGCTGTGCTGTGGGGGGCGATGACGAATGGACTTGAAGAATCAATTTCGACATATGTACGTGCATAAACTATGCGGTGAAGCGACTTGCCACAGCGATTGAGCAGAAGATAACAAAAAGAGGCTGCGTATTGTTGTTGGTAGTGCTGTGAAGCTACAAATAGCTGACGGTGAGCGATGAGAAGAGCTGACGGTGAACTCAGAAGAGCAGCCGTCGGCGACGATAACAGCGGCGTTGTGGCTGTTGCAAATCGCAGAGCATGTGGGTCGACATTAGCTTCATTTTGGTTTCGTTTTTTTGTGTAAAAAGGGCGTGGTCGGGTGTATAAGTGGTTGTGCTCTTGTGAGTGACATGAAAAAATTGGGTACACAAGCAAAGCGGACATGCAAAGCTAATGCAATGGAGGTGGCGCGAGTTCAACGAACTCAATGCAATTCGAAAATGAAAATAATTTGAGTAAGCGGAGCAGTGAGGTTAGAAAACGAAGAGGTTGTCAAATAGATGGATTAGAAATTCAAAAAATCTGTTATTATCATTTTACTAAAGTATTTAACACTCAAAATACTCAGACGCTTAGAAAGCAGCTAAAATTTCCAAACATGTGTTAAAATCTCCAACATAAAACAGGAAAGTGCCGTCATAAGCACCAAAAAATAGTTTTTAAGGCAAGTTGACGAATTTTTAAACAGTGTTTAAGACTAAAGTGGCCGATAAACTCGGTCTAAACTTAATTAAAAAGAAAAAGAAAAAAAGCACCAAAAAAGTAATGTTAAGGCGAGTTTAATGATTTTTTCTCAAACTTCATGTGTTTGAGCAGTGTTTATCGCTAACACTAATTTAGACGAATTAATGCAAAGCCCAAGAAAAGTTTTGTGATTTTGAAGTAATATTTAAGCAAAAGTGGCCAATAAGATCGAGTTTATGATTCGACATTAATTTTTTAAAATTAATGTCTCAAGAAATCACTAAAATATTAGTGTTTAGGGCGAGTTTAATGATGATTTCTATAACTCCATATTTTAGAGCAGTGTTTAATCGCCAACTCGAGTTAAAACGAAGCTTAAAAGAACTTCCGATACTTGTAAGAAACATTCAATGCTAAAGTCCTCAATAAACTCGAGTTTAGTCTTTACTTTTTATCTTTTAATTACTCATAATTAATAACGCAAAACAGAAAATGAGTGGTGTTAAAGGGGAGTTAAATGATTTTTGTCAAATTTCGTAATTTACAACAGTGTTTAGTTCAATTAAGTCGAGTTAGAAGAAACTAAAAAACAACTCCGATATTTTTAAGCAGTATTTTATGCTAAAGTGGGCGATAAACTCGAGTTTATAGTTTACCTTTAGCGCCTTTAGAATATTACTGACAACATAACACTAATTGAGTGGTGTTTGTAGCGAGTTACATTAAATTTTTTTTCAAACCTCATAATTTTGAGTAGTGTTCAATGTCAAACACCAATAATACTAATAAACTCGAGTTTACTGTTTTACTTTTAGTTATTTAACAAATAATTCATAACATAACTTCTTCAAACTCGGTTTTTTGAGTATTGTTTAATGTTAACCACCGAATTCACTGATAAACTCGAGTTTAATATTTTACTTTTAGTTATTTAGCTACTAACTCAGCACATAATTTTTAAACTCCGTTTCGAAGTACACTACTCTGCTACTAAACTCTAAATTTTCTAATAAACTCGAGTTAACCGTTTTGATATTAGTGATTTAGAATATAGTACACAACATAATTTTGAAGAAATATTCATACGAACACTTTCTAATTACCATAAATACTCCGAACACTCTTCGAAATACTTTAACTCTCAAAGCGAGCCATCAAAAGCCAGCAATTTTGGGACACCGCCTCACTAAAAGCACCCAACTCACATATCTATATAGTGTTTCATGTTTGGAAATTATGAAAATATTTTTCAATATACATTTATGTACAGATATATGTATATGTTCGCTTATAATATTTTCCCAGAATGCTTATGCACCCAAAAAAATTTTGTATTTCGACTAAATTTGTGTGAGGCAGACAATTAAGTGGAATGTGCTTAATTAAAAATAACAAAAACCAATGAATAAAGTTGTAATAAATTTCTTTGCCACAAAGCAATGCAGCTGAATTGCATTTTCCCAGGCATTCCTCTAAATTTTTGTGTATACAAGGAAATTATTTATGGAGAATTTTGTTAAGCAAGTGCTAAGTAAAATATTACAATAACAACATGCCCAAGATTGTGGTTACCAAAACAATAATAAAAGTTAATTATTCACCGGATGCACTTCGATACACCATATGAATTTCCTGCTTTTGCAAACACTAAACTTGAAAATATTTTAATGAAGAAAAGGTGTTTTTCTTTATGCTTATTTTGTATGTGTGTATTTATATGCTAGTTAGGTACATTTTTTAATTTTTGTGTTTGTTAATAGCAAGTGAATAGAGAAAATCAATCTTTACAAACATATTTTCGAATGAATTTTCCTTTGAGAGATTTTGAAAGTATTTGAAATAGTCGTTCTAAGAAGTAACCGATATAACATACAAATTGATGAATATTGTATATTAAAGGGAATATATTCAAATCGAACACTTTAGGCATGCCTTTTGCTTTTATTTCACTTTATTTTGGACAAACATAAAATCTTAAAATACATACTTGAAGAATTTCCTCGAGCTGAACCGCTGCTGTCAACATTTGAACAGTCTGAAGGAAGCTATGACTCAGTAGCAGCTAGCTTTGGCCAATAGGAGAAGTAGTTTGTTCCAACGCCAGACCACACATGTCGATGGTGACTCGCCAAAATATTTAGAAGCTCAGTTGGCAGGTTCCCAATCATTCACCTTAAAGTCCAGACCTGCTACCAAGTGACTACTATCTGTTCCTGTCTTTGTCAAATTATTTTGCTGAAGACAAATTCGTCTCAAGAGAGGCTTGTGAAAATCGATTGCCCTAGTTTTTTCCAATAAGGAAAGGTTTCTATGAATTTCGTATTATAAAACTACCTTCAAAATGGCAACAAGTTATCGAACAAAACGATGCCAATTGGATCTAATTCGAATCATTATAACTAGGCTAAGGAAATCACTAAAAATAATGACATTTTCATTAGACCTCATATACTAGTAGTGGCTGTTATGAATATAGTAAATAACTTCGAGCAATATTAACTATTTTCGATATGCTTGAATTTTCAAAATGCCGAATCGAACAAACAACTCGCATAAATCAAGTGGCTTCAAACGTTGCAATCAGTTTCAGAATTTCAGTGGAGTATTCGAATGCGCTCTTGTACTAAATTCAATTGAAGAACTTTGCTGTTGCTAACATAAGTAAATTTCTTGCCTACAGAGAGAGAGAGTGAGATAGAGAGAGAGCGAGACTAGTCACACACAGAGAAGCGTTGAATTGAAGACGACAAATATTTTTATGAAGAACCAAAATATGACATATATTGCGGTTAATTTCACATACTTAGCTATATATTTTGGTATGCAGTAATCTAAACGAGCTTTTCGTACTTTTTTTTAAACAACCGCAATATCGCGGTCACACATAGCGAGCCGATGAATGAGCGCTCTTGTTCAACGAACGCTGTTTATCATCGTGCTGACTTCATTTAAGTCATTTCGCACCAACGATTGCAATTATATTAGGCAGTCGGTTATAAGGCAATTAAAAATTTTTAATATAAAAATTGAAATGGCGCAATAATGCGGCTTAATTTCAATGCTCCTAATTAAAAATATTTGTTCTCGGCAGAAAATTAATGATTATCATTTTCATCTTAATTATATAATTGTTTCCATATTTTTTTTTTTATTCGTCGTGAAATTAATTTTTTGTTATTGTTTATTAAATTATGTGTTGTTTGCAAATATTTGAGTTAAGAAGAAAATATGCGCTTAATTTTGAAGCGAATGTGGTGGCGGAATTGAAAATGAATAAAAAAGAATGAAAAAATGTTAAGTGCAGATGCTTTGATGCTATAATACCATTCACAGACATTTTTATGGCATAAAAAAGTATAAAAGGATCTTTCGTTTGATTTTGTTTGGTTAGTTTGTATGGCAGCTTTATGCTATAGTAGTACGATATGTACAATTTCTTTGGAGTATCTAACGATCTATTTATAAATAATATGTGCCAAATTTAGTGAAGATACCTTTTCAAATAAAAAAGTTTTTTATAGAAGGACTTGAGTTTTATCGATTAGTTTGTATGACAGCTATATGATATAGTGGTGCGATCTAAACAAGTTCCACGGAGACTATAGCGATGCCTTTGAAAATATTGCGGGCCAAATTTCGTGAAGATATCTTGTCAAATAAAACAGTTTTCCATACAAGGATTTGAGTTTGATCGGTCAGTTTGTATGACAGCTATATATTATAGTTCTGTGATCCCAACAATTTCTTCACAAGATATAGCAAACTTATCAATAATAGGCTATGTAGAATTTCATGAAGATATCCTGTTAATTAAAAAAGTTTTCCATACAAGGACTTGAGTTTGAGTTTGATAATTGAAAAAGTCAAGGATCAATACCAGCTCATTTGCGGACAACTGTCTAGGAAATAACTATTTTTTGAGCTCTTTAATATATGCTAACCTGTTTTTCCTCTTCCCAAGGCTATCGACCATTTAGGATAGCACATTTCGTATACATTAAACAAAAGCGAGAGATCAAGAAATATATGGAACTTTGAGCTTCAATCCATATAGACTCTAAGGCAAAGTCTTTTGTTCAATCTTTCCATAGTTTTACCCGAAATCACAATAAAATAAAGCTAGCAAAGTATTTACTCTCTGAATAATATAAAGAAAACTTAACCAACAATTTTTCTCAGCTCTACCAGCTGACGGTGCCTGTCTCACTCCGCTGATTAAATTATATTATTTATTGTTAATTATTAAATCACAATTTCATTGAAAATACCCTCTTCACATGATCTTATTATATTCTCTAAAATACGTGCCACTCTCCACACGCTCACAAATAACAGGGTGTACGGCGAGGCATGAATCTCTCGCGATATGTGTTGAATTTGCATGTATATTCAATTTGAGGCAGTGCTCTGTGGATTCCTCCTCTAACGACTTTTTTGGTCCATATCGTATTGGTAAACCGTTACTAATATACCAAAATGCGTTTGGCATACCAAGATCCGTAGCGCCAAACCAATACTCTTGACGCATACTATGGCGTTGGCAATGCCGCGTGATCAAGACCATTTTTTCGTGCTCATCCAGTGTTGCTAATGTTAGGCCATTGACTAGGCAATAGCGCATGCCGGTAAACCAGTTCATCTGAAAAGCACGAAGTTCATAACCTTACTATGGTTCGAAACTTGGCCAAACGTCAGTTGTTGGGCAGCTTACCGATCTTTTGGGTATGTGAAAGCAACTGCCACGAAAGGGTATGAAATAACGCGCTTCACCTTGCGCGCGACCACAGCTTCTGCCCAATGATTGGGGATCTGAAAAGAGCACATTCTATTTTTTGGGTTTGAATATTTTTGCTCTAACTCGCTTACCTATTGGTATTGAAAGCAATAAAAGCGGCAAAAGTATCAGACAGCAGAGCAGATGTTTAAGCTTCAAACGTGCGAACATGGTTGTCATAAGATCGTTTGAAAAGAGTTGAGCTTAGTGCTAATGCAAAGTGCTTGTGAGGCGTGTCAAAACTATGTTACAAATTGCTTTAGTAACGTTAATCAGACCTTCACTTACGTATTTACTTTTCAAAAGATCGCTAAGTAAAAGGTATTTATTGTAAAGAACTTCAATGATCAGAAGGAAATTAAAGACGTGTGAGAAGTACATAGTTAGTTGAGAATCCATGTTTTAGCTTTGAAGAGAGGATATTTTCTTTCGACTAACGGTGTGTTTAAAGCTAGTTAAGGAATACCAAAACTCACCAGCCATTTCAATGAGTCACTTTGTGATAAGACTAGTCCGCATAAGGGCGCCGGACAATAGCGGAAGCTGTTGAGCTGACAAGAAAAGGACCGAATGCCCGAAATGAGTAGAACGGAAACAGATCGGCGCTCCGATTTCTTTGTGTGTATTAATACTGAATACCTGGGATTCGTGGGAGCCGGGCAAGCTTTGAGATACCTGTAGCTTATGCGCTGTTGCAAAAGTATTTTAGCTGAGCAGGATTACACGAGTTCCAATGAGTTCTTGGCGCTCAGTAAGTCTGTGGTTTAGCTAGTTGTAGCGGTTCTAACTGGTGTTCTGTGTTTACGCGGTGAGGCTGAAAATCTTATCAGATGCAAGTTGAAGAGGTGTATCGAAGAAAATGAGGTAGAATCTTCTCCCAAGTTCTTTCTTCACTATTCCGCCTTTGAAAGACCAATGCTTAATCGCCTAGGAACTCACACTTTAGATATCGCATAATGGCATTCTCATTGAGCTGTAAAAACGTCTAAGAGAGTTTGTGTTTGCCTCAAAGCACTTTGTGGACCTATAATATACGATTACAGTAGTTCTATTTAATGGGATCTTAAAGGACTGCATATACAGCAGTCTCAGTTTGATCCATGTTGAGCCAATAGAAAGGTTGATCCACTTCGATATTCCCTACTCTTTTTTTTAAAGCAAATACACAAAAACTTCAAATTTAATGAATAATGTTTCTTACCATTCGAAAGAACATTCTATCGCATTTGTTTTTTGCAGATTATCTCTTTCAAATGTTGGCCGCGGCTACGTCTCAGATGGTCCATCCGTTGTGTCCAATTTTCGATTGACTCGCTCTGGTAACTGGCGAATAGCACTCATGTTATTTCTCTCCAAAGCCTGAATGGAAGCGAGATTGTTCCCATATACTTTAGTCTTTATATTTTCTCCCAGGAAAAAAGCTTAATGGTGTAATATCACACGATCTTGGTGGCCCATAACGTGAAGCTATCTGCTCACCAAAGTGTTCTTTCAATAAATCTATTGATTGATGCGATGTATGGGAAGTGGCGCTGTCTTATTAAAACCAAAGGTCGCCGAGATCACGAGCTCCAATTTCAGGCATCAAATTGCCGGTTATCATGGCGCGATAGACGGTTATGCTCTCACCGGCATCATTTTTATAGAAACATGGACCGATTATTCTAACGACTCACAAACCACACCAAACCGTGACTTTTTCAGTATAAAATGGCAGCTCTTGAATCTCTTCAGGTTGCTCTTTATCTTACTTTATTGAGCCTAATATAGGTACTTACCCATTGAGCCTGATATAGGTCTCGTCGCGGAACAAAATTTGGTTCGAAAACGTCGTATTTTCGTGTAACTTTTCAAGAGCCCATAGAGCGAAATGATGTCGCTTGGTAAGGTAGAGCGGCTTCAGTTCTTGCACAAGCTGTATTTTGTACATTTTAAATTTAAGATCTTGACGTAAAATGCGCCAAGTCGTTCCATACGTCACTACGAGTTGCTGCGAACGGCGCCGAATAGATTTTCCACGGTCTTCGTGTACACTCTCAGCTATGGCTGCTGTATTTTCTTCACTGCGTGCTTCGCTCAACAAAAATAAATGAGTGTTGGTTCGCCTGTGTCAATTTTAAGTCCTGGTATTCAAATTTCCGCTTTGGGAACTCGGTTATGAGCCGATTGAGATATGCCAAACAATAACAATGAAAAAGCACTTTTAATTGCAATTATTTATTACATTTGACCTATTATAACCTTCACTAAATGTCTCCGTTAATGCCTACAATCACACATATATTTGTGGCAATAGATGAGTGTAATAAATATAACTGTACTAACGATCTACCCTACAACTAATTCAATTAAGGCGGCATTAACAATTAATTACGCACATTTCTACAAACAACTGAAGAAATGTATGCATTTATTGTATATGCATGATTCCATGAAATTGCAAGTAATGCACAATTCGTCTAATGCTGAATTCAATTTGAGGACCTCCACTGTCGTTGACATGCAACCGAAATTTCTTGAACTTCAACTTGCTCGTGCGCAAAGGAATTGAGTAAATTGAGTGAGTGGCATTGCGGCAATTGAATGCATTTTGTGGGCATTGAGTGCGGCATTTGCTTAAATATTTTTATACCCCACTCATAGTGTAGCTATACGAGTATTTAAATGCTTATATTAACTATGTGTATATGCATAACTGTATGCGCTGTGTAACGCGTGACGTTTGATGAGAGGAATTCGCTGCGGGAGTGGATCGTCGGCAATGATAAATGCTTTTTTCATTAATTTAATAAATTAGATTTCAGAAAAACTTAACTGATTTCTACAAGTATTATGAATGGAAACGCATTGTAGTTAGTAATCTGTAGGGTAAGTGGGGCGTGTCTGAAGGAAATATAATTTATTACAATTTTAAGTGTGTTCCAAGGCACATTGATGTTGTGAGCGTAAGTAGCGCTGCTTAATTTTAGAAACTGACGATGTCATTACATCTATATTCACGAAAGTTCTGATATGTTTCGATAAGCCATTTGAGGGATCGACTGTATTACAAAAGAATCGAATCTCAAGAGTTAGTGTAATGCTGACAAATCAGTTATCAGCGCTCTACATAGAAATTATCGACAATTTCTGAGCAGCCTGAGCGCAACTAATGAGTTTTCTGAGTCGAAAAATACACTCGAACCCATCGAAAAGGATTCAAAGAGTCAAGATGTTACTTTTGTTCTGGGATATAGTTTGAAGAGGGTGTTGTTGAGCTGAGAGTTGTAGATCAGGTATAAATCTGGGTCGCTTCAGAAAATAAATAATTTCATCGCTATCCGTAGTTACTATCGACAAGCTTTGAGCGACCTGAGCTCTCCTCATGAGTTCTCTGACAAGTTTTTTTCAAATAGTAAAGATATTGCTTTTATTCTGGGATTTAGTTTGAAGGGGATGTTTTGAGATGAGAGTTCGAGACGACCTGAGCTCACCTAATGATTTTTTGACCACTTTTTTCAAATCAAAAATATGATCGAATCCATCCAAAAGTATGCATAGAGTTGTTGAGCGTGACAGTTCTAGATCAGTTTTAAATCTGAGTCGATTCAGGTAAATTAGACCCGATTGTCGGATAAAATTAAGTAACTATACCTTAAATCGAAGAGCTGCATACATTAAATTACAGTTTTCGAAGGTTGTAGCGGATCGCATGACACCCTGTATTGAAGTTTTGAGAATTAATCACAGTCTCAATAAATGCAATGACCAACACGACTTATAAATATTGTATACAGTTATTTACATATTATATCTCATAGTCATTACAACCACTGAGTATTCACCATTTGTCCTTCTTCTCTTTCACCGGTTTTTCCACCAATAAATCACAATTTTCGATTAGTGTTTTAGATAGCCAAATTGACGCCTTCAATCACATTCCCTTGACAGCTGTGGTGACATCATTCGTCAACCGGCTCACTGCCAAACCTACATCACTACTGAATTTGTTGAACTTTGCTCGGCGCGACCGTCCTTTAGGTTCCTTGTATGCCGACTCCTTTTATGCCATTCCGCTTTACACCTTTGCTGCGTTCGCATTAAATCACGAGTCAGCGACTCCGTGGCGACAGCTTTCTTTATTGCTTTGGCGCTTTGTATATTACTCTTTCGTGTTTGTTGTATTACATTTTATTTCGTGATTTTACATGTGTACGCACTTTACGTTTTTATTGATTACCACATTGGCTTGGATCCAAATGCATTTCGTAATAAACTAAAAATAACAGAGAAAACACTTTCACTGATTTTGTTAGCAAATAGACGGCGGAGAAATGTTGAACTGTTGTTGTAAATGGACGATTTCATTTGGCAAGTGCTTCTCGTTTAATTTAGGTACTTGGGTGTGGCGGTATTTGGACACTGGCTAGCAGGAAACTTTTTGTTTTATGAAATAAAAGAACTTACAAAGTGAGGAGGGTTTTTCGAACATTTCCGAGGTTGCTTTGCTGTAGCTTCTTCTTCTTCTTGATTGTGGTTGAGGTGTAAGTGATTTAATTGTGTTCCCAATCAGATGTTTAGTACTACTCCATCCGTCAGCTGAATGTCAAAACTAATTTAAGGTTATCCATATTTGTCCTTTCCATATAATGTACTTCCTTTCACCACATAGATTCTAAGTCTATATCTCTGATCTTTAATCCTCTCCTAGCGAACGTCAAACTTTCCTTAAATATTCCAGACTGTTTCACAGTTTTTTTGGAACGAAATCATATCTGTAGGCCATACAGCACAGCCTTTTAAAGTTTGTTTCCTTTAGTTACGTGTCTCTATCGCAGAAGTCCAAGATATTAAGTTTCGTTCCCATTTTATTTTTTACGAAGAAAAGTGACGAAAATCCTTATAGAAGACAGAATTAATAGCCCCGATTTATTTAATTAGTGAAAAATCGGAGTTGAACGGATAATTAATTCTTATAAACTCGTTTTTAAGATTAGTGTTTAATGTGAGTTACTTAGTTACTGGGATTTCAGAATAGAAGAGATAATTTTTGTTATAAACTCGAGTTTAAGGTAAGTGTTTAATGGGAGTTAAACGATAATTTTGAGTTTCTGGACTCGGGTTTAAATTTCAGAGTAGAAGAGATAATTTTTTTTATAAACTCGAGTTTGAGGTTAGTGTTTAAGTTGAGT